CCATCAAAGACATTCTTCATCTTTGTAACTATTTTTCACTTCTAGCATTTCCATTTGATTCTCTCTTAATAGTTTCTATTTCTCTGCTGAAAGTATCCATCTGAGCTTGCATATTGTTCACCTTTTCCATTACAGCCTTAACATAATTATAGTTATTTTAAATTCCCTGGGAGATTGTTCCAAGATCTGTGTCATATTTGAATGTAGTTCTGATGATTCCTTTGTCTCTTGGGAGTGTGTTGCCTTTTCTTGCCTTTTTATATGTTTGGTTGAAAGTGTGCCGCATCTTTGATAGCAATGCAGAGACCAGAGTAACAGGCTTTATGCCTGGAAATGGGTATGAGTTTCCTCCTGCTAGGACTTTGGTGAGGGGATTTGAATTAATTTAGTTAGGATTTGGGCTGGCTTTGAAGTTTGTTATTTCTATGGTTAACCTTAGTGCATTATAGGCTTTAAATTCTTCTAGCAATGCTTTGTTTCTAGCTTGTGAAACGGGTTTGCCAGAGGGTATTTTTCCCCCCAATGTTTATTCCATCACAGCTTTAGATCCCCTCCTGATAGGGGCATCAGAGAGGTCTCATCCCATGGTCTTGCTCCTTTTAGTTTTTCCCTTCCAGCAGTATTCTGCTTTTCACTGTGATGTTCAGCTTTTTAGCTAGCAGTGGGGGTGGTAAACATGAGAGAGTTCTCTTTTGTTCTGATTTAAGGCTAAGTCTCTTTTACCCCTGTGTCCCTGAGTCTCAGGAGTGTGTTCTCTTCAGTGCTGCTGCCCTTTTTGCAGGCTGTAATTCTGGGCCAATTACATACTTCTACTCACTTTCTAGCAGAAGTTAATTTTTCCCCCCTCTTCTACCTATAGTGAGTTTGTACCAGTGCCTAAGTAGGATAGTATTAGTTGTCCTTCTCTCCATAGATGAAGGCTTTTGTTCCTCTCTGGGAGATAAGGTGAGAAGGATCTGGGTGGAATAAGCAGTTATTTGTGCCCCTCTGTGAGTAGCTGCAGTACCCCTCCCCCAGGCCTATGGTAAAGGACACTTTCTTAAATTTTTCTCTTTTCTGAGAGTACCTAGAGGGGTTTGTGGAGAAAAGTTCTCGAGAGGATGGGGACTCTCCCATTTTCTACAGTCTCCAAGAGCTTCATACTCTTCTGCCACTATACACTTAGCCTTCAGGAGCTTGCCAACCATCCTAGCTGAACTTTTTTTACTAGTTAGTGGTTATGTTTATCCCCAGGGAATCTAGTGCTCACATTTTGTCTTTCTCATCAGGAGTAAGTATCTCCTTGTATTGTCAGTTACCCTGTGACCTCAGAAAAAGAATTGAAGAAAAAGTCATGAATTTACCATTTGTCTGGCTTATTTTCATTGTAAGGTTGAAAACAATCCACTCTTTAGCTCTTACATCCTCAAGCAAAACCCAGAAGCCAAGTCTCTTAATTTGAACCATTTGAGATGAATTCTATGTCCTGCTGGGAGCACTGATGATGTTGGAGCTGGGATTTGAATGGAGTATTCTTCTTATTACGGCATATTTTTTTCCCCTTCAACTTCCTTCCCTCTGAACTTACATTTCATTTATAAAAATATTAAGTGAGTACCTACTAGGTGGCATGCCCTACGCTTGATACAGAGATAAAAATTAGATTTTCACAGTAGTTAGCATGAGCATAACTATGGCAGGAGCTGTCACAGGGCACCACGGGATGCCAGAGCCCTTCCCCCTAGAAACTTTGCAAAGCTGGTTTCAACTGAATGCTGGAACCTGCCTCATGTTCATCAGGCTGTTTTCTTAGCCACCAAATATCATCTTCCCAGGAGTCCAAATCTGAAATTAATGATGCCACACATTGAGATGAAGATTGAATTATAGAGTCCTTTGAGGTTTTTTACTAGCAGACCTATGGACTGAGGGAAGGAAAGTAATCTTGATAACTCAGAACTGTGAACTCTTTAAGTCAAGTTGCTTTAAAGTGTGTCATGTTTGTTAGATGTATTATTTAATCTGTTGAGAAGATCAATAAAGCCAACTTAAAACTTGTTTCAGCAATAGCCTATGTCACAGGCAAGCTAGGGCTGGTTTTTTTTCTTTAATATTAGAGCATTTGGGTTGGAATCCACTTAGCTACCTCTTGATTGTTACAAGTAGGAAATTCACTACAGCATTGTACATTGGCAAAATCCGTCCAAATCTGTGTTAAGACACACCACAAACCTTTACTTCTTGGGAACTTCATAGTTTGCAAAGTATTTTTACTTCCAGTATATCTTTAGTGTTCTGATCCTCAAAAGGCCCTGAAACAGGGTAGGGCAGGCATTATTTCTGTCTAGGTGAGACTTGGGTATGACTTTGCTCACAGTTGAGCTGAACCATTCTTCCTCGATGCACTCTACATGCCTTTTTCCAGCCTGTTTTGGGTATGCTCAGGGACCTGATCCCTTTTTCCTAGTTCATACCTTGATCCCTGATCCCCTTTTCCAAGTTCATACCTTGAACCCTCAGACTTGATATTTGATTCTGTTCTTCTGGTGTGACCTCTAATTCCTACCTACGTCAATTACAACCTTTGTCTTCTCCTCTGATTAATTTACTTGCAGCTGCTCCCAGGTAATACCTTTCATGCCCAAACAATATTTCTGCAGTTACTGTAACTGCCACTTACTGCTTGAAAAAACAACACTAGTAACAGACGCTCTCACTTGAGGACTTAGGATGAGTAGGTCATTGAGTTTTCCACATTTTATCTTATTGAAATTTAGAACCTCAGACTAACCCTATGAAATAGATACATTTTTACTCCTATCACAGATAATTCACCAAGAACCCAGGGTGAACTCAGTCAGTGTAGGTGAAAGAACATGGATTTGGGTTCTGGCTCTGCTATTTACTCACTGTGTGATTTTCTAGTAGCTATCTAATCACTTTGTGCCTCAGCTTGTTCATCTGTAAAACATGCGGATGATAATTTGTACTAAGATTGCCACAGAGATTAAATAGGAAAACATCTGGCATACAGCAAGATCTCAATAAAAGTTGAGTTTCTCTTTTTATTTTAGGGCTTTCATCGTCCATTTGTAGATACTGCTATGAAGTTGATACTTTGGATTTCTAAATGCCATTTTATAAAAAATGACTGTACCAACTTCCTTCTTCATAAACCATCAACCATGGCTGTATGTTTGATCAGGGAAGACAGGAAGTGGGAAATGGTGTCCCTCCTGGTAGAGGTGTAGGAAATGGTTTTAGATTTCAGGGATGGTTGAGAGTTAACAGCTGCAGAGATGTGTAAGTATTTGGTGTGGGATTTGAGGGAGAGACCTTGGGAACTAGTTGAGTGTACTGTCTTGCTCTGACAAAGAAACCCCTGTATTAGCTAGATAATATGTAAGAGATATTTCCATCAGGCAATGGGGGAAAATTGAATTATTTAGTGTATTTTCATTTCGATGAGTTAATCAAGATAATTGCTGTTTTTCTGGATCTTTGTCATTTCTTTGTAATTAACAAGGCCCTTGTTTGGAGAAAGGAATTTAGCCAGTGAACTTTGTACAAATTGCTATGATATTTGTTGGTGCAAATTGTATTAAAAAATCTATTATAGACCCTTTTCCTTTGGATTCTGACTGTGAGAAACTGATGGTTGATCAAGCTTGAGAAAAATTTACAGTTCCAGGATTTAAATTCACTTGGGATTAACAAACTGAGCAGGGGACAGTGGGACAGAGCTGAAAGAACATGAGCTCTGGCATCAGACTGACTTGGGTTGTAATCCATGTTCTAACATATTCTCACTATATAAGAGTAGGCAGATGAGCCTCTCTGAGCCTCAGTTTCTAGTTCTGTAAAGTGGATAGTATCACGCATCCTCCAGAGCTGTTGTGAGGTTTAATTTCAATAATGTGGTTCTTATCCCATATCTGATGCTCAGTAGGCTAGTTCCTTCTCCATTGCTCTCATACTTACCTAATAGATACATATCAGTAGTCTCAGTTGCCTGGAATATGGCTAAGACCTCAAAAAAAAGCTTTAAAAAATATAAGTAGAAAAAGATATTACAAAGTCCATTCATTAAAATAGCTCATAGAAGAAAACCATATATATATGTTATATATATATTTGATTTTGGCTAGGTTGAAACAGTCTGATCTTCTGGTTCCCTGACCATATCACTTAAAGCCCTATCCTAGATGAAGAAAAGGGAAGTGAGCTACTTGAGGTATGCACAAAGACTGAAACAAATAGTGACACACTAGTGCCACACTCAGGGAGGAAGCAGTAAAAATGTACCCATTAGACACGAGCTAATACAGTTTAGAATCACTTTGGGTAGGGTGCAGAGTTCTGCAGCTTCATTTCCTCACTTCCTGGAAGCTACCTTCATATTACAGCATAATATACAATTGTGGTTGTTCCTCACTAATGACCTTGATTCATAAGAAGAAAAGTTTCATTGTGTTTGTATAATGTGTTTGAGAAGGGAGGCACTTCCTAAATTCCATCCAAAATGGGTAAAGTGAAAATAAATTTTTGAAACTTGAAGATGTGAGCTTTGATTACATTTGGAAATTCATTCACATGCAGCTGTCCCTTCTCCCACTGCTGTATTTCTGGACAGTGGTCATGATGAAGATGCCAGCACTCCATCAAGTACTTTTCATCTACATCACTTCCCTGTGGCCTGTTGGGCAGGTACCCATTGTTTCCATTTTACAGATGTAGAAACTGAGGCCTAGAGAGATTAAAGCCCATGGAAGAGTTGGGATTCAAGCCCAATGCCTCTGACTCCAAAGCTATGCCCTGTCTCCTACACTATGCTCCTTCCTACGAACAGTCATCTGGAATATGAATGTACAGAACATATTATAGGCAGCAGTTTACATCCCAAATCTTGAACTAAAATGAAATATCTCAAAAATTAATACAGGAATTGCCATTGATTCACTTCTAATCCTATAATACATCTCATGAAACAAAACATCAAATGATCTTGTCTTGGTACTTACTCGTAAAATGTCGTCCATCCATTTTCATTGCTTTTGGTTGCCAGGAGGCCGGAGTTGCCATGGTATGTCATCATGGCCAGCTCGTGTCCCTGTGTGGTCACACTCTTGAGGGCACTGTTGGTGCCCATGGTCACCCAGTACACCTGGCCGTCGGGGACCACCAACCAGAGTGGCATCCCGGTCGAGTCCCGGCGGACGTTCACCATGTTGCCGTTGTTGTCCGTGATGAGTGTGACCTCGCCGTCCCCAGTGTAGGTGAAGTTGTACAGGTAATCTCCTGTGGTCAGGCTCTGGGTGTACAGATGCTTGCCGCTGGTATCAAACAGGTAGAGCTCCTGGTCGATTGGTGAGGACAGCTCATACATGTTCTGGGTGTTGAGGAAAGGCTTGTTCTTCCTGATAAATCGAATCCGGATATTCCCAAGGTCAGCCACGTAGAGCTCTCCGTCAGCACACACAGCCAACGAAGATGGAGTATTCAGCTTCGCATCCTTGGCATAACCATCATCTCCAGAGAAACAATCACAGTTGGCATCATTTTTACAGTCGCAGCCACTGGGAGCCCCGGCAACTAGTGAGATCTCTCCACTAGTGGTGACCTGCCGGATGCGGTTGATTTTCTTTTCATCAGTCTCAGCGATATACAGGACCCCGTTGTGAGACACAGCCAAGGCGGTGGCTGACTCCAGGGTTGCATGGATGGCCACCTTGCTCAGCAGAAAGTGGTCGATGCCGGGGACTTGGCAGTGCATTGGCCTCCCAGCGACGATGCGCACCTGATGGTTTTCGGAGATTTGCAGGACCACGTTGTTGTCGAGGACATAGAGAGAGTTGTCCATTGGGTTGATGGCTAAGTCTGTGGGCCACTCCAGGCGAACCTGACAATGGAGACACTGACACTCAAATGCCCGGCAAGGTGCCCAGCAATCATCCCACTCCCTGTTCAGCCTGCAACTGTCCCAAGTGCCTTCTCATGCAGCCCCGCCTGATGCTCACAGAGTCTGTCATCAACAGCGGATGTCAGCCCCTGATCAGACTGAAACCATGAAGAGCCACCCCTGAGGCATCTGTTGGTCTCTAGACTGACCACACACAAAGAGGGGGTCAACAACAACAAGAAGCAAAGAAAAAGTAGGCAAGGGCTAGACTTTGGAGTCAGATGGGCCTGGGTTCAGATACTAGCCCCACCACTTACGACCGTGGGCAAGTTACTTTGCCTCTCGGGGCCTCAGTGTTTGCATCTGTAAAACAGGAATGACAACAGTGTGGAGTGACCCACAGGAAGCCCCATTAACCGCAGCTGACGTGAAGGAGTTGGGAGGGGAAGGCAGACGGAATCTGGAGGCTCAAGTAGGAGTTGTTCAAGGGCGTAAGAGAAACTCTCCATGAACTGGGGAGAAAATATTAATGCATGGCTAGGTGCTAGGGATGTCAAGACAAAATATCCATGGCTCCTGCTTGATGGTTCCAGACAGTGATTCTCAAATCTGGTTGCCCATTCCAATTACCTGCAGTGATTTTAGTAGGTAATGGTGCTCAAATGCCATCTCTGCCTGTTAAAACAGATCCTTGGGTGTGGGCAGAGCACTGGCATGATTTCAAAAGCTTCCTGGGTGATTTGGACGTGGGGCTGGGGACCACAGTGGATCCTCCTTCAGGTGTGATCGCTGGACTGGCAGCGCCTGGGAGCTGGTCAGTGATGCAGAATTCAGCTCTAACTCCAAACCTGCTGAACGGATCTGCATTTAAACAAAATCCCCGGGTGGCTCCTGGGCACTCTGCAGTTTGTGAAGCCCTGTCCTTGAAAATGGCTCCTAGCACCTCAGAGAGCAGGTCCTCTGGGAAGGGATCAGCGAAGCTGCCAATGGGAATGAGGGGCTCAGAAGTCCTGGGCCCTGGTCTGAGCCTGGCGGGGAGGCTGGCAGGCACCACAGTGAGCCTTTGGGTGGGCATGCCAGGACTGCAGCCAGCAGGGTCTGAGCTGAGAAGCGCCTACTTCAGTTGGGGTGGAGGCTGGACTGCTGGATCAACACACTGGGAGGAGCTGGACCCAAAGGAAGCCTTTGGCCAACTGTGTCCCCGGAGGGCCAGCTGCACTGCACATGCGCTGGAAGTGCTGACACGTGCTGCCTCCAGCTGATTTATTAACGCCACCCCATGGGACACATCACCTCAGGTTCCTGAGCCCTCTACAAATCCTTGACATTCAGTCTAATTTGGGGCTTATTTACATGAGTGTATGACTTCAGAGAAGAAATTTCTGTTCTAGGAATTTGTTCTTGTACATCGTGTACACAAGGGTGTTTCCCACAACCATCTAAGTCATGGTGAAGAACTGGAAGCAACTTAAATGCCCGATGACAGAGAACTGGCTGCAGAAATGACACTGCATTTAGTTCACCCTGTAACTTAGAATGCTCTGAGCAGCTGTTAAAAGTGATGTTATAGATGGGTATTTAATGACATGGGAAACTGTTCACTATGTATTAATTGGAAAGAACAGGTTACAGAACTGTAAACTCAGTGTGATCCTAATTGGAGGAAAATACACAAATAGATTATGGATGGAGGGGAGATTGAAAGCTTGAAGGGATTTACACTAAAATGTTAACTGTATTGGGATTAGAAGTAATTTCAACTCTCTTCTTCGTAACTTCTCACATTTTATGTTTTCTACAATGTACATGTCGTAGTTCGCAAATGTAGTAAGAAACCCCAGTAAACTGAACACAAATGAGGTGTGCCCACTACCTGCCCCTCCAGCTCAGTGCCATTCTCAGGATGAGGCAGCCCCTTCTCATTTCTTAGGAGCATGATCATCAGGCCTACTTCCTAAAGCCTTCTTTTCTCCCTCCCAACCCGGGTCCCTCTGTCCCCACAGAGGCACGCCAGAGCCACCTGCCAGGGCCACCTCCACACCTCTCCACGCCTCTGGAGCACAGCGGTGCAGCAGCCTCCAGCTGCATCAAGAACACAGTTTACTCTAAAGTGACAGGGGAATTTTCAATTTCCTAAAACCCATTTCTTGTCGACACTGGCTGCTAAATATTTGATGCCCTCTGGTCCTGTGGCACCTTGGGGACCTGCTGGCCCAGACCTTTCTGCCTGTCATTATAATGAAAAGATGGCTCCCTGATGGATGGGTGGGCAGCGGAGAGGGAAACAGGGGAAGAAGGGAAGACCCGGCACCATCCTGCCGCTGACGCCTGGGAGAGAGTGTGCGGTGCTCGAGCAGTCAGCCCTTCCTCTGTCAGAGTGCCTGTGTGATGGTTCCGCGTGGACCAAGTACCCAGGCTTCTCTGACTTTACCTCCCTATTACTGAGGATGCTGCTGAGGCTTAATTTCCTATCACTAAAGCAGAGGGACAAGACTTTCTGACTTCCATGGTCTCGGTGGAACGAGGCTCCTGCTCCCCATCCTCCAAGCATCCTGCACCTTTATCACAGCACTTTGAGCTGACGGCCTTGTTGCAGCGTTGTGTTCTCAGAAATGGACTGTCAAAGGATGCAGGAATGAATGACCGCTGAATGGCATAGAGTGAGCGAGGGATTTGGGGCCAGGCCACCTCGCTTCCTCTTTCGGTTCCACAGTTCCTGTGGGTGTGATCTTCCTCAGGTTACTGTGAACTCCCTCTCCTTTATGTAAATGGAGGTAATAAATATTACATGGCATAACTGTAAGGATCAAACAAGACAATGTACGAGGAAGTTCTCTGTAAATTATAAAGGGAATGAATATTTACAGCCTATCACTAGCTGCCAGGCACTGTGTCAGGCAATTTATGTACAATACATGATTCCATAAAAGAAATGCATCTCCACATCCCTGATGGAACCCAGCACAGGGCTCTGCATTTATAACTGCATTTTCTTTCACCAAGCCTCATTCTCCCTATCTATAAAATGGGGAAGAGGGTATCTACCTTTTGGGGCTATTGTGACAGCTGCATAAGAAAAGTGAAGTTGTTCTCATCTCTGAGTCCCCACTTCTAACAGTGCTCAGCACACAGTCAGCTCTCAGGAAATCATTCTGATCCCTAAGCACAGAGTTACACTCTGCATCTGGGGAGGCCATAGCCTGCTGAGCTGAGAACTAATCCCGTTTGGACAGGGGGGCAACATCTTCTGTGGTTTCTCTCCTCTGTGCCCCCTCCAGCTTCTCCTCAGGCCTGGTCTTTGTCGCTTCCCAGAGGGGCTGCTTTGAGTTCCTTGGCTTTCCCCTCTGCACTCTGGCCACCAAGCTGCGCTCTTAGCTTTCCAGCCTACCTCCCCACTCCCCATGGGACAGTAAAGTAGCGAGGTGTTTCTAACAGAGGAGGTTTGGAGAATGATAGCCAGTGCCTCCTGCCCGCATGTGTATATTAAAATACATGCCTGTGTCTGGAGAGTTCGGTAAAGAGAATTCCATGCTTAGATTTGAACAATGGTAGTGAGAACCATGGGGCACAGAGAACTTAGCACAGAACCTCAGAATCTAAACATGGGTTTTTCCCCCTCCCGGATATACCAGTTGCCTTCCATGCCTTTGGTCTGGCTGCTTGGCAGTAACTCCAGAGTTAAACAAACTTCCGATGTGTGGATTGAAATTCATGGGCACCCTGTGCTGGCTGGTGCAGGGCCCATTCTGAGAACTGAAAATATTCATATGTACATCCTCAGACTGTGGCTGCTTCCTGCTGGGTAATTCAAGCTCCTCACAGACTGGAGAGGGAAACTGTTGAGCCAGCAAGGGGAAGCCTGCCAAACTGGAAAGACGAGTGGCAGGGAACAGATTCCATTCTGGAGCACAGCAGCCACATGAGTTGGTGCAGAGGGAAACCACACCGAGACAGGCATGACGGTGAGGCCTCCCAGGCTCTGCAGCCCACTGGGCACAGGGGCGGGTCTGCAGCCAGAGGAAAAGCAGCCTCCCCCCCAGAAGTGAGGGGGCTTAAAACACCAAGTGTGGCTATTGCTAATACCAATTTGTGATTTACTAAAATTCCTGCCTCCTTATTTCCTTGGTTTTGCTAATGTTGGCAAGATGGGTGTTCGCTGGTTGACTGCAGGCCAGGCCCTGCCAGTGCCTGATGTCTCTCCTGGGTCTACACCAAGCTCCTGGTGCCCATTGTCTAAACTGTCTGCTGTGTATGGTAAGGTTCTTCCCTAACTGGGCCCATCATGCTTCCAGTTTCAATTCCTGCTACTTCCAAGAACCCCAGGCTCAGGCATTTAATTTTCCAATGTTCCCAGTGTTCTTGATTGTACCAGGCCTGTTCATATCTTTGTACCTTTGCACATGCTGTTCCCTTCGTGTGAAATGTCTCCATTCTTCCTTGCTCCCCCAACAAATCCCTATTCAAACTTCAAAACCCTACACAAATGTCATTTCCTTTGTGAAAATGGAAACTTCTGTTTATCAATCACCTCTGAAGAGCCAAGCAGTGCTAAGAGCCTGGCATGCACTACTTCCTGTGTTTTCAAAGCTATCCTGCCATGCCAGTGTCATTTATTTCCATTTCCAGGTATGAAAAATTAGGCTCAAAGGGCCTCAGAAACTTTTCTAAAGTTACTCAGCTAGTAAGTAGCAAAGCTATGATTCAATCAGTCAGTCAATCAATTAACTCATCACAAAATATTGATTGTGCCCCTCCTGTGTATGAGGTCCCTTGGTTACAGCAGAGGGAAAGACAAGACAATTCCTCTTGTCATGCAGCTTAGAGTCCAGAAACAGAAAAAATTGTACAAGTACCTGTAAGTGTTTCCAAAGAGGGAATTCAGGTAGTTATGGATTTAAAATCACAGTGTGTGAATCTCTGCTGCCTCTGAGGCTTCCTTGCATGGATTTCTTCACGGTTCCCCGAGCCTCCCACTGTCACCCACTGGTCTTCCTGAGGGTGAACTCCCAGAGCACTGAGCTATGTCCTACTAATCTTTGTGTCCTCGGTGCTCCTCAGGGCCCAGCACCAAGAGTGTGCTCTGAAAAGGTTTGCGCCCTGTAAAGATGAATGGCTAGCAGGTCGGCTGGGTGCCAGGTGAGAGGATGCATAAGTGGACAGTCTAGTAGACAGAGTCTTCTCTTTACCTGAGAAATATCCATGACAGAATCACAGCTCAGGGGCCGGGCTGAGGTAAGATCATTGGAACCCAGCAGGGTGGAGATGATCCCGTTCTGATCCACGCGTCTGATCATGGTGCCATCCACAAAGTAAATCAGCCCGGACTTGTCCACTGTGATGCCTGGGGCATGGAAGCCAAAACAGCGAATTCAGCATTAGAAATGGGAAACTGCACACTCATGGATGGAGCCTTCTGGGTTGGCAGTGAACCTGTCCCCTGTGACTGAGATCCTCCCCACAATGCTCATCCCCTTCTGAAGATGGGGACATGGATGCCCAGAGGCTTGGACTTGCTCAAAGTGGGGCTTAGAACCCAGGTCTTCAGATTCCCCAAGGCTCTGGTCCTTCTACTTAGTCACTCTGCAGATGTCTACCCAGCACCTTACCGTCCACTAACACTGGGCGCATGACTTCTGGGGTTTGCTAAGCACTTGAGGGTGAACTAAGGAGGATCTTTTTCAGTATCAAAACTGTGAATTACTTAAATTAACCTATTTCTGAAGCCCTGTATTTATAATAATCAAATCCCCTGTTTGGTAACATTTTTTTCTTTTCTTCCAAGATAATAATCCTTCATGCCTTCCTATTTGGTTATTATTTTAGTTTCATTGGTCATTGTAGTAGTACAGAGACTAAGAAAAAAATCGTTTGGATTTGTGTAGAAAATATTGGTAGAATGAATTTCTTAAAAAGGTACGTTGAAGAGAGGAATCTGAATTATTATTCAACATTGTCTGCTCCATTTGCTCAGCTCTTCCACCCCGTTTACTCTCTCCCTGACTGGCTATGTGATCTTGGGCGAGTCACTGGACGTCTCTGCCTTTGTTTTCTCAGCTGTTCAATGAAGGCATTGCTCTATGTATTTCTCACTCTTGAATGGGTGTGAGAATCACCTGGGAGCTTGCTAAAATGCACTTCCCAGGTAGCTGCTTCAGAAAACCTCAAGTGGAGCCCAAGTATCTATCTGCATTTTTGACAAGCACCTTGGGTGATAATGATATAAATCAAAGTTCGAGAGCCATTCTAGTAAACCCATACTTCTTAACCAGTGATGTGTGTCAGAATGACCTGAAGAGCTTTTTTTTCCAACACAGCTCTGCTTGGCCTCCCTCCTGGAAATACTGATTCAGCGTGGCTGGGAATGTGACCAAGGCATGTCTTAGAAATGCTAGTGGGGTGACATTGCTTCCCACCTCAGATCCAGGACCGCAAGACTGAGATGTGCCCCTCCCAGACTGAGACCTGCTCAGGGGTGCTGGGGCTGAGAGAGGCAGGACATGCCCCTGGGGAGCACACAGTCTAGATGGGGAGGCACAGGAGGAAGTCAGTACCACGTGAAGTGACCCCAGGGAGGACAGAAGCCCAAGAGGGTCCTTGGTAAAATAAAGGAGATTCTGGTCAGTTTTCTCTGGGGAGGGAACTGAGAGAAAGGGGTCAGAAAAAGCTTCACAGAGGTACAGACACTAAAAGTACAGTTGACCCTTGAACAACACAGGTTTGAACTGTGCAGATCCACTTATATGTGGAATATTTTTTCAATAAGTATATTGGAAAATGTTTTGGAGATTTGCAACAATTTGAAGGACATTTTCTTTTATTGTGAAAATACAGTATATAACACATATAACATATAAACTGTATTAACTATTTATGTTACTGGTAAAGCTTCTGGTCAACAGTAGGCTATTAGTAGTTAAGCTTTTTGTGGGAGGGCAAAAGTTATATGTGAATTTTCAACTGCACATGGGGTCTGCACTCCTAACTCCCATGTTGTTCAAGGGTCAACTGTATAAAATGTTCCAGTTGCATAAAATTGGGCAAGTCACTTCACTTTCCTATCTTAGTTTCCTCATTGATAAAATGGGGTAATAACATCTGACTTGTCACTAGTTAGCCCTCAATAATTATTAGTGACTTACAATTATGAGAACATGACCAGCATTTTATGGGTTTCAAGGAACCTTGCTCTTGAGGCCCAGCTCTTCATGACTGGTCCACAGGGTGGTCTAAGACACCCAGGGGCCTCTGAGGGACGAACAGCCAGTGAGCAGCAGTGCGTCCTGTGCCCTCCCAAGGCTGATCAGGGCTGGAGAGCGACTTCACAGAGACGCAGCGGCCTCAGGGTAGGGGAAGCCGTTGTTCTGCCCCTGCCTAGAATGTAAGTTACATTCTTTAAGTACCAAGACGGAGCTTGCCTGGCTGTGCTCTTTCTCCTTCAGCTGCTGGGCTGATGAGCACTCCAGATGAACAGCTGGGTTTCTTGTTTACAAAGCTGGCTGTGCAAGCTAATACGCTAATACAAGTGATCTGTTCCCTGACTAATGACTTCATTCTTTCTCCTTTTGTTGTGCTAAATAGATGGACATCTTTTCTTCTCCCTGCTGTAAAGTGTTTGCATATTGTGGCCCCCTTGTCATTTTTATCTGACTTAATTATATAGGCTTTTGGGCAATTTCACTGCCCCCACATCTGTGAGTGAGCATGTGTGTGTATGAGTGGAGCATAGAGTACACGTGTGCAGAGCAACTGAGAAAGAATTAAATTCTTCAGAAAAACCTGTAATTCCAAGAGAGTAGAATGTTGCAACTGAATGTGGTCTCAGAGGATGGGTTAGCCCAGTCTGCTCATTCACCAGTGAGAAAGCCGAGGCCCAGAGGAGGTCAGGGGCTGGGAGATGGCAGAGCAAAACCGAAATGCAGTCTTTAGGTGCAAGCCCAGTGTTCTTCACACTCCAGGCTAGTCTCAGTATTATGAGGTCAAAATCAGGAGGGAGATTAACCATGGATGTTGCAATATTTACCTCACAGAGTCACCACCTAACTACTCCAGGTATATAACACAGATGATGATTTAGGACATAATAAAATATAATGTAATTTAATATGATATGATATAACAATTATAAAAGGAATCACTATATAGGGGATGTTTACCAAGTACCACTTGGTACCACTTTACTGGCATTTACATTCCTGATACATTTAAGTTGTACCACAACAACACAGTATATCTCTGTTTCATAAAAAGGGAAATTGGGCTCAGAGAGGTTAAGCAGCTCACCCAAAGTCACACAGTTCTCAGATGGCAATATGTGAATTTGAACATAGGACTGCTGATTTCAGTAGAGTCCACTTCTTTGATTTGAAAGTGCATATACTGACTGCATTTTACCAACAACTCTCCCAACCATTAATTCATTTAATAGGGTCACAGTTAGGTCTAGGAGAGGCCTTGAACTTTGGCACTATTAAGTAACACAATCACATGTTTATAGGATAGCATATGAAATACAGTAATTATGACCCTCAGAAAAATTCTAGAAGGTGGACACATAAGGTATTACTATCCCTATGTCACGGATGAGGACCCTGAGGCTTAGACACTATAAGTCACTGACTCCAGGGCCTGCACACAGTAAACACTCTGCTAATGGATGGCTTTGAATAATGGTGGCCTTTCCTCCAAAAAACCTTTGCAGTCTCCTAGGCCCAGGAGCCTCTCCTGGCTCTAAATTCCCTTGCAGTGATTTGTCCTCGCATCTCAGGGAACACTTCTTCCTCTCTACCATATCAGAGTGATTCATGCTCAAGTGAATCTATTTATTCTATTACAATGAACTCACCTATGCAACCACAGTGTGCTGCATACTCAGTAAATACTTGCTGAATAAACAAATGAAAAATTGTGATTTTTGGGTTTGAAGAGGTCCAACTTTTTGAAGGACTAATAACTGAAACTTAGAGTTAACCCATCTTATAGTACATGAACATCTGCAGGTGATAAGGCAATGTTTTCATAAAGCAATATAATATGAGAGCATAAATGTTCAATAGCAGGGGACTGGAAAATAAATGATGGGATGTCCACTTGATGGACTCTTACATAGTCACTAAAAATGACTATACAGAGAACTGTTTAATGGTCCAGAGAAATGTTACGCTGTATCAGTTAGGGAAAAAAGTAGGCTACTCAAACAGTTTGTTTAACATGATCTCACTTTGTTTTTTGTGAGCACTACATGCACACAGACTCTTAGAAAAAAGACTAGGAAGAAAGATAGAAATTAACCAGGAATATTTCTGCAGATGGAATTATGGCAACTTTAACTTTCCTCTGTAGAATTCTTGGTATTTTCTAAAATTGTTTGCAATGATAAACATGTATTTCTGAAGCCTGAATTTTGCTATCACATGGTACTGATTTATAATTTCTTTCAAGTCTAAGACTGACTGGAGTTGGACTCGTAACTACCAGACAGCCAACGTTTGATTCCCTAATAAATGTTACTGACAGTGTGTAAAAAGCAAGGACTTACCCCTGGGGTTGGTAAGTGTAGCTTCAGTGGCCTTCCCGCCATCCCCGCAGCGAGTATCATCAAAGGGGAGGCACTGGTCCCCTGTCCCTGCCACTACCTCGGAATTCTTGACAAGGTCCTTCACCACCACGGTGGACTTGATCTTAAAGACACGCCGGCTGTTGGTGTCAGACAGGAAGATGACCCCGCTCATGGGGTCTGCGGTCAGGTAGTATTTATGTGCTGGACTGTGACTGGAAAACAAACACAGGCCAGTTGGTGGGCCCTTTCTTCTTTCCTACTGGCTAGCTAGAGACATACAACTGAATCCAAGCAAAATTTTATGGGGACAATGTCCCTATTTTGGGAGATAGTTGCCCAATGTTTTTGACCCCAGTGGTTGGCCTAATTAACCCTCCTACCCAGCTATTGAGAAAAATTCTTTTGCCAATGATCGTAATGCCCAGTCCAGCGCCACGTGGTGCCCATATCAGTGGCTCAGCATCTTTTCTAGGATTACGAATCAGGCTTACCACAGGGGGCTTGAAAAGCCAAGCCAGAAAACAAGAAAGGCCTTGACCTTAAAAAACATTTCAAGAGTTTGAATCACAAGCCCTTCTCCCACAGTTTTTGCCACAGTCCCACCCCCATCTGGGGACTGACTGAAAAGACCCTGGCCAGCTCTGACTCCATGCAGTGTCAACACTGTCTTCTGTTGAAGCTTCTATGATACTCAGCAGCTCAGTAGTCCCCCTTCTGCAGTCAGTTATAAATGAATTGTGGGATTCTTTTGTAATTTCCAGCACCACCCAAGGAAAAATAAGCAAAACAATGAAAAGGGCTACTGTGTGCTAGAGGGTGCCAAGCTGAACATTGGAAATACAAAAATGAATAAAATCCCATCTCTCCCCTTCAAGTACCATCTGTCAGATTCGGAAGGCAGACCATAAGTAAATAGCCACAGCATTATGTTAAGTGTCCTGTAAGCCAGATATGAACAGATACGAATCTCAGCACATAGAGAAGAAGGGTCAGGGGAGGTTTTGCCAGAAGAGGTAGCATGTGAGCTGACACCTGAAGAATTGAGTAGCACACAGTAGCCCTTTTCATTGAATGAATGGTATCTCCATTTTTAGCTTATTTAAGTATAATTTTCATTCAAATTACTTAGTTTTTCTTTAAATCTCTTTTAGAGGTGGCAGTAACAGAAGAGGTGTTCTGTTTATCTTGAATGTCCCCTGTGACTTAACCCTACAACATAGCACAGATTTAATCTTCCCAGATGACACTGATTCTGGCTAAATAAAATGCAGTGAGCTTAGATCTGCTCTGCAATGTTAGGGTAGCCTTGATCTTTCCACTCTCCTGGTAGCGGCTGTGGGCTGGGGGTGACTACTTTATTTCTTTGTGCATCACCCATAATAAACTGGTGCTATCCACCCTGGCAGGAAAGGATCCCTAAGGGAGTGTGGCGGGGACCCTGATTAGCATCCCGAGTTCCCAGCACTTGTTCAGAAATGCTGCTCATGTGGAGTATCTCAGATGGGTGAATTCCAGAAGGTGGCATTGGTAGGATTGTCTGAGAGTCTGTAAGAGCTGCGGCTCCATCTTTGATGCCCAAGGACGCCTCTGAGATCTGGTGGTCAGTTAAGTGTAGGACAAAGAGCACTAGCTTTGATCATAGAAGGTGTGGGTTCTAACTGGAGCAAATCACGTAGTTGTTCAAGTTGTAGGTCCCTCAGCTGTCAAATGAAGAAGTCCCTGCTCTGCTTTATTCAAAGTCTTGTCATTAGGATCAAATGAAATTCTCCATCTCAACAGCTCATTCAAGTTGGTAGAGTGGTTGGATAGTCTCCAATTCACGTCTTCCTCATGCCACCTGCACCTAGGCCTCCGCTGGGAGCAGTGTCCGCCCCCTTCCGTCTATGGAGCAGAGCTGCAGAAATGACTCTCAGGGTTACCAAAGCACCTGCTCCCACCTCTGGGTTCCTCTTCCATCCCAGACGCTGTGCTTCACATGCACTACTTCATGGTTCTTGCAAACATCATGTAAGGCAGGTGCTTTAGGCTTTTTTTTTTAATAATTCAGGAAACAGACTTGAGTTCAAATGTGCTTCTGCATGACAAGATTCAAACATTTCTCCATGGCCCTAGGAAGAGATCTAGGAAGAGATGAGGATCCTTGTTTCCTCAAGGGTCCAGAGGAAGATACCCAAAGGATTATGGGTCTCTGGACTGAGCATTCTCAGCATGGGGGACTGGCATTGAGGCTAAAAAGGCCAAAGGCAGAGACAAGACTGCCCTGGGGACCACACTCACAGGCTATGGGCTCCAGCCTGCAGCCACGTGCTGTTCCTGGGAACAGCTAAGACATTACATGCTAATGGACAAAGAGGAGAACATTTTGTAATTTTTAAAACCATTACTGTCATTTACTGATGGGTACACTAAGGCCCAGAAGGAGGAAGGGATTTCCCAATATTCAGATGACAGTTAAAATCAGAGCTGGAACCCAGCTCTGGATTTCATTCTGGATTGTCTTTAGAAACCCGGAAAGCTGAAAGAAATTTCATTTTTCCTCCTACTTAGGTCCACTTTAGCAACGGTTTCTAGCACCTGAGAAAAAAGTGAATTGAGAGAGGACAGGAAGCCATGAATACATCAAAAGCCATGGATTTAAACACTGGAAACAAAAGGCACCAAAAGCTTAACTCTCTCAGTTTACAGATGATGAGACTGGGAACCAGAAACACTAGGTGACCAACCCCCAGCCACAGAACGGATGCACAAGAAAGCTGGACAACCACCCGGTTACCACCAGTGAGTGAAGGTTTTAATGTTAAATGCTAGGTTTTCATCCAAGACCTTCATAGGAAATATACTTCTGTGTTTTCTGTAAAATTGAACTTGAGGGCACATGTCAATGCATAGTTCAGTATCTCCATACAAAGTTCACTGAAAATATCTTTTAGATTTCAATGTCAGGAAAAAAAAAATTCCTCCTCTGAGAAGTGGGTATATTTTCCCACTTTTGATAATGCAAACCATGGAAATGATTGTTTTCCTGTTTACTCCAGAAGCCAGGAAGCTCAGAGTCTAATTTGATGTATAATCACATATATGCGTTTTGTTCATTTTTCTTTTGCTCTCAAATTCTACTTAATTTACTTTAATACATGTGTCTTTGGTTGTAAAATTATTGAATTCTTTTTTGGGAAAGATGGGGACATCACCATCATATAATTGTTACTACACATTATATACAGTAAAATATATAAATGTACAATGTAACAATACATTATTTTATTATTATTATTGCCATTTCTGGAGTCTCTGTGCCTGGCACATTCCTAGATACTTTACAAACATCCTCTGTAACCCTTATAATAACATAATAACCTCCCAGGGAGATTTTATTAACCTCAGGCTAAAAGATAATGCTCTGAGAGATGAAATAATTTTTTCAAAGTCACACAACTGGGGACCTTTAGTTTTCTCTTCTGTGAACTGGGAGGTGTCATGAGTTCCTACTTCACAGGGTGGTCTGGGGATGATCAACTATAAGCCATGTAAATCACTTAACCCCTCTTGCTACATACTAAATGTTTATACATGTTAATTATTATTATCTTAAAATAATACTATGACAATGTAATACTAATTATACAGATACCACTATAGACATTATTGGATTTGGGTCTGACTTTCCACCACCCTAGGGCTTTCTCTTTATCTCAATTTAGCACCCATACCATATGCCACAATGATCTGAGCCACATGTGGAAGAGCAAGCCCCAGCACGCCTGCCCACGGCTACTTTCAAGTGACCCGAATGTGCGTGAGGCCAGGGAGCTCTCAGGTGACTGACTTAGCCAGGAGTCAAGCGAGGGCCTGGTGACGCTGGCACACTGACAGGGGACGCTGACAGGTAGACAGTTCTCTCGGTGAGTCTGACAAGGTCCGCTTCACCTGCTGCAGTGCCACCGTGAGCCCACAGGACAGCCCTATTCTGTGACTGAGTTTGTATTCGGTGACTTCTCTCTTTGGGTGGCCTGTATGGTCTGAAAAGCCTCCCCAAGTCTGTCCTTGCTGGCAAACCTTCTGATAGGGTCACCTGGCATCCTAGCCCCCCAAACCGAGGCACCTGGAATGCCACAGAGTGGAAACCTGGTTTCCTCCAGGTTCTTAGCCTGATCGAGATGTTCTCAGGACTTCCCACTGTGGCCGTTGAAGTCGCTCAACACAGTTAGGATGATGTCCTCATTTATTCTAAGGATAAGCAGACTGTGGTGTTCAAATTTCTGTGGCAAGATTAAAATTTTTCGTCTATTACTTCAGTCTGTCATGTCCACAGATTACCAAAGTGACTGCTGTGCTTTGCTACAGGCTAAAGCAGTTTAGGCTCTGGCCACCCACCCCCACCTGTTACTAATGACTTCCTCTCATTGTAACTGATTACCCCAATCAGTTCCAATCACACAGAATTCATTTGCCGTTGAGCCGTCTGAAATTGACACATGCAGCTTACCACACAACATGCAACAAGGCAGAGAAGAGACAGGAAATCCTCCACTGGTTGGCTTACCTATGTCTGAAATCTTTATTTCTGACAGAAGACAGGAGAGCAGGGAATAGAAGAAAGAATGAGGTGTTAGCAGCGGGGTTAGAAGCATTGTTAGCAGCCTGAAAACTTGACAGCAATGGTACTGTACAATACTATAATAAATAAAGACTTAGCAGCTGTGACACTGATATATTTTATATTGGATATTACTTGTCAGTGAGCTCACTTACAAGCAGCTACATATCACAGGAGAGGCATGATTTCACCTGTACCACTACTGCTGACTGCAGGGGAAGAGGATGAGGTGACATAATCTGACAGCCTGGAACCCGAGAGCCACGTGCCCTACAGAGAGTTCTCGAAATGTGCATAGCCCCGCCCCATCCTCCTCATAACAGAATTCAGAATTGGAGATAAACTCTATTTACAAGGGAGGCTGTGACAGGGAGAAATAGGCCTGGGAAAAAAAGGCAAGAAGAAAAGAGATCAAGATGACAATACATTGACAAATTTATTTTTTTTCCCAAATTTCTTGTACTCTTTCCTTCCCTGCCCACTGTCTTCCATTATCTCCCACAACTGTGGGGGGGGGAGACAGGAAAAATGGGATCTCTTATTTGAAAGATGTGAAAATGGGGGCCAGAGATGGTAAGAGTCATGCCCAAAGTTGCCCAGCTTCTCTGCCGAGGTGGGCAGACCCCCTAGTCCACGGCCCTTTCCATCACCGTTACGGGCGTGGAAAGATGACTGAGTGAATACGCTCCAGGGTCCCTTCTTTCTTGAGAGATGTCTATGCCAGTCAACTCATAAGAGAGAGAAGAAATGAGAATAGTCTGATAGTTGACTGGTTCTCATTCAGGCTGATCATTGATTTCCTATGAGTCCACAGAATGTGAACTTCTGATTCTCCTCATGGCCAAAGACCCTCTCTTTTGTCCCTGTGTGTGTGTAGGCAAAAACTAGCCCTCTCCTCTTGAAGGCCGTGATGACTGTGGGTCAGCCAGCAGCCTTCGCTGCCTTTCACAGGTGCCCAGCGGAGTGGGGCTCTCAGCAGGCACCTAGCCCCAGGGAAGGACTTACCAGGGCACTAAGCCGAAGTGGGCCTCACTGGGCCCCGTGACCGTTCTTAGCACGGCAGAACTGTGATGGCCTCTGGGTTTGGGCTCACTATTCTAGAAGCAGGTCCTAGGGCAGGTGCTTTAAATCCCCGAGTCTCCTTCTTCTGGTTTGTTAAAGGCCACAGTAATAAATATCTCACAAAACTGCTATACTGGGCAAACAGTAGGGCTTCAAAAGGTGAGTATCCTTTGCCCCTGGTCACTTTGGAGGAAGGCTTTCCAGCTCAACGGCCTGTCCTGCTCACAGGGACCCCAGCCCAAGAGATGGGAAGATCCATTATCTAAAGCTGCTCTGGGGAACTTGGTGCAATTTCTCCTGAAAGGCAGAGTGGGGCTCCTCATCTCTACCCATAGCTTCTCCATAACCCTAGAACCTACCCTGTAAGAGTGTACTGGTTTAGGGAGGCATAGAGAAACGTAACGTACCGGGCCTTCCCTGAGCTATAAGTGTGGCTGTGTTCCATCACTCCTGCAGGGTGAGGGAAAAGAAAAGGCTCGTTTGGCTGGCTCTGCAGGACCGTAGGAGCAGAGAGACCTGCCTGATTTTTAACTGTGGACCTTAACTCAGTACTGGGCAGCTGAAGAGAAGTGCTCCTAGCTCTGATAGGTGTTAAGCAACAGGGCCAAACTTGGCATGGGAGCCTTGTCCATTATGTCATCCCCTGTCCTTATAAAAAGACTCATGGGGATAATTCCAGTTAGTTTGGTGCTAGAAAACAGAAAGAAGATTCAAGGACTTCCGGGGAGTCTAATTCTTGGTCGCTCATAGCCCTCAACATCATCTGGCCACTGGGGATATCTCCCTGTCCCCAAAGCAATTTGACTTCATTGCAGTGCCCTGTGTAGAGCATGTCCCACTTCCCCAGAGGCCCCAGCTTCCTCCGAGCTTGGAAATGAAAAGTCCTGGGGTCTGACAGGTGAGGTTCTGTCCTGTCCCTTCTCTGGGCCCACTGGTAATGCCAGGTGGGCCCACAGGATGGCAAAGCAACGTTATCAGGAACTGTGAGGAAGGCATCCCCTTACACACCTCAACTCCAGGATATTGGTGACATTCCCAGAGGGGAAGATCCTTCGGATGTAGTTGAAATCTCCCACATAGAGGCTCCCGTCAGAGCCACACGTGAGAGCCACGGGGGCCAGCAGCTTGTTGCCATCGGCAAGGCCATTGCAGCTGGGGCAGGAGATGCTCCTCCGGCGCCCGTTGCCCATGACGCTCCCGATGACAGGTGGCTGCTGGGATACGAACTGGTTCTCCCCATTCCCTTTGTGCAAGATGCCTGGAACAAGGAGAGTGCAGAATTACCTGGGGTGCAGGAAATGGCTCTCTTCTGTGGCTGACCACAGAGTCGCCGTGATTTTGCAAGGAATGCAAGATCTATGCCCACCATTTCCAGACGGATCTCCCAGGGCTGCCTCACTCCCACAATGAAATCCAGAATGTTCTGAACAGGCCATCTGGCTTTACTGATTGAGTTCTCACACTGTACGATACGTACTATTTTCCCCCTGTGGTAGCAGGGGAAACAGGGTAGGTGGCTTAGCTAAGATCACACAGATGATAGCAGAAGCACTTCTGAGTCTGAGCTCTTAATCATTCAAGCTCTTCCTATTGTATAGACTATATACATGGAGTCCATGTCTCTATTATAGCACGAATTCTTTACTGCACTTCACTGCACTGGTTTTCTCTTTAGATTAAGCCATTTTGGGCACAGAGGCTGTGTCTTTTCCCTTCCTGTATCCCTGATGCCCAGCACAGAACCTGGCACACAGTAGATGCCAATAAATGTTTAGGAAAATGCATGAGTAAGACTCAGTCTCTTCTCACCAAGGCAGAGGCAAGAGACCTGGGTTTTTGCCTGCTTTTGCTACTAATGAGCTGATCTCAGACCTTGCATAGGCCTCACCTCTTTAACTGCCCTTGGGCCTCAGTTTCCCCACTGGCAAAATGAAGGGAAAGAGCTCAGTGACTTATAATCTTCTTCCCATATCTGTACTGTTCATTTTCGGGCTCAGACCATCCTTTCTTGTACTACTGCCACAGCCTCCAGATGGCACTCTGCCGCCTGCCTCACCCCTTCCATACTGAAGCCTGAATGGGTTTTGGTGTTTATGGTCACAAGAACCTTCTCTCAGGCTGTCACCTCTTAGCTTTGTCCTTTATTGGACAGAAAACCTTCAGTCATTTTAAATTAAAAATTTTTTTAAAAATTTTGGTATCATTACTCTACAGTTACATGAGGAACATTATGTTTACCAGACTCCCCCCATCACCAAGTCCCTCCCACATTCCCCATCACAGTCAATGTCCATTAGTGTAGTAAGATGCTGTAGAATCACTACTTGTCTTCTCTGTGTTGTACAGCCCTCCCCGTGCCCACCCCCATTATACATGCTAATCATAATGCCCCCTTTCAGAAAGCCTTCATTTTTATGTAGTCTACTCAGTCATTTTTCTACTCTAATGTCTGTGCTTTTGTAGGTTTTAGGGAATCTTTCTCTGAGGTCATAAAGATATTCTCCTATATTTTCTTCTATTAAAGTATTATCTTTCAAATTTAAATTTTTACTAACACTTAATTCATTTTGTATACACTGTGAACTCAATTTCATTTTTCTCCAGTTTTCCCAATATCGATTTCTAAAATGCCTATCCATCCTTCACTCATATTATGATGTTACCTTTATCATATACCAAGTTCCTATATATCCATGATGTGTGGCAGAAACTCACAGTCATTCACGGATATGCTTCTTACCCACCTTGTTCTTATTCCGCAGTTACAGAACCTCTACGTTTAGCTGGGGCCTGACTGTCTGGAATGCACTACCATCTCCAACCCTGCGTGTAGCTGGACTTGGCGGCTGCTGGGGGGCGTCCTTACTGTGGAAAGGACTTGCTCTTAGTCCTTTTCCTCCTTCTTGCTGGCTGGAAAGTGGATGTGAAGGCTGGAGCTGAAGTAGCCACCCTGGATCATGACCATGGAGGCATGAGTAGTGCAACAAGAGGGGAGAAGCCTGGACCTCTGGCCCTGCAGAGGCTAAAGCAGCCCTGGTTATCTACCTCCAGACTTTCAGGTAAGTGAGAAACAAACTTTTAAATTGCTTACAATTCCGTTATTTTGGTTTTCCTGACACTCATGGCTAAACCCAGTCCTAATTACTACTCACAGATTAGTTCTGGGCTCCTTGTTCTGTCCCACGGAATCTGTTCTTGTGCCAGCAACGCACACAGTTTTAGATATTGTGGTTTTTCTAAGATAGCTTAGTATCAGGGTGAGTGCCTCTTTTCTGTTCTTGATTTCAAGACTGCCTTAGCTATTTATAAATCTTTATTCTAGTGTAAATTTTAGAATCATTTTGTCAATTTCCCCACAAAATGCCTGGTGGCTTTGAAAGGCACTCATTGTCTCTATAGATCAGGCAGGAAATAGCTGACATCATTACTACATTTAGTTGTTCCATCCTAGAACACAGTCAGAGAGTGAGCTGTCTAAAATACAGACCCGACTGTGTCACTTGCATGCTTTTATCCTTTCAGAGGCTTGACATTTGCCTCTGGCTAAAGGTGAAAGTCCTAGTCTTCTTACCCCGGGCCCCAGCTGCTCGAGTCCCCAGCTTTGGATTGCACTAGTCCCCTCATTTTACGTTTTGCTCAAACCACAAGGAACCTTCTTGCCAGTCACTCTCTTGGCAGCCCTCAGTGCTTCAGTACAGACCGTGCTCTCTGCTTAGAATGTTCTCCCTACTTGATATACAAGGCTGATCCTGCAGACCCTCTGAGACTCAGTTTTCAAGTTCCCTATGAAAACACACCTTGCTGAACTGGAAAGCTGAGTGAGGGAGTCCTCTTCTATGTCCCCAGTGTCCCACACATCCCTCCGTTGTGCGAGGTACAGTGTGGAACTGCCTAGGGAGTGTTTGTCTCTGATCTGAGTGTCAACTCTTGAGGCCTTTCATTTCTGCATCTCCAGCACCTCGGAGTGACCAAAACAGGGCAGGGCCCCAAGGAATGGTGACAGACCAACTGGTGATGTAGAGTCCTCTGTCATTTGAAGCCTCCGTCATTTGAAGCATGCATTCTCTTGCCTGGCAGGGCACACAGACCTGAGACACGGTCACACCCACGGCCCGGCTCCTGGAATTCCATTAATCCACTCACCACTTTGGATGTTGAGGGCGTGATGCTTGTCCAGGCTCCATCCTCCCAGCTTGGAAGCATCGATTTCATGGCCCTGCAGCACTGCTGTCCTTTTTTCCCACAGGATCAGATCTGGGCAGGACTCATACTCGTAACCCACGGAAACTACAGAGAGCAGAAGGCACAGAATGCACAGGTGAGCAAAGCCTCCTCTTTGGTTTTAGATCTGCATGCAAGGTCCCTGCTGGTCTTTTGTAGGAAAGAAAAGGGACCGCATTTCTAAGTGGGAACCGATCCATGTGTAGTACTAAAACAGGGGTGCTGGGCCTTTATGTCCTTTTTTTGGAATAGTGATCATACATAAGTTAAACAAGTGTAGTAAATATTTTAAAAAGGATACAGGTGAATAATTCGAAAGGAATCATCTTTAGTATGAAAAATACTATATTGGCACAAGTCTTTATTGCAGTGTTAGTTATAACAGTGGACAACTGGAAGTAATCTAAAAGGTTCTAGGGAGGCTAGAGGTTGAGCAAACCAGAGTGCACCCACTTGAGGAATTTATACAGTCACCAAAAATGATGGTTATGAAGACCACAGATGACATGGAAAGTGCTTATGGAATAATGCTGTTGAAAAGACTAGTTATATATAGAATTAGATCTGTGTTAACAAATTGTACATGAGAAAAGAGAATGAATGTCAGCAAGTGGTAGCATTTGTTTACAAAATAGAAACAGGTCTGACTTTATTTCTATTTTTTGTCTGTTTATTAAATTTGTATTAATGAGTATGGTATAAAGAACAATCGAAAAATCACTTATAATGAATCCATGGCAAAGCAGCTCAGCTGGGGTACATTGAAAGCTGAAAGTTGCTTTGAGGTGTCAAAGCTTGTAGAATTCCTTGGTTTCACAAATCCAGGGCTTCTTAGAAAGTCACTGGGATACAAGCTAACCATGGCAGGCTCGCCCAGGCTGGGTTTGTAAAAAGCCCTGTAACTGCCTTATGGAAAGAAACTGGCAGAGATGGGAATACCATTTCTCCCAAGTGTCTTCCAAGTGTGCACACACTATTTTCCAGTGGGCGATATCCTATTCCAAGCTCGAGACATGAATTAACAATTGGGCAGCCTCTTAAAATTTCCTTTAGCTTTCATAAAAGATTGCCCGCCACCTATGGCAGGAGGAGAATGCGGCTGGATGATGTCCCTGTACCCTTGGGTCTCTTAAGCCATCTCTGTGTCTCCTATGGGTCACCTGTCATCTCAGGAAAGAAAACCTCAGCCCTTGGCATCTCCCTGGGTAGGCGCTTCCTGTTCTAACTGGCTGGTGGGCACAAAGCATGCTCATCCCATCTGAAGAGATTGTAAGGCTTCATGTGTTTGAAGAGACCATAGCAGTAGTCTGGTTTAGGCAGGGATCGTGAACAGTGAGAGATGGCATCTTTGCTCCCCATGGGCCCTCGTGTGTGGGCAGGACATGACATTCCAGGGAGGATTTGGGATAGACAGAGCTCTGTCCCTTCCTTGTGCACCATTAGGAAGTCATTCCACCTCTCTGGGCCTCAGCGTCCTCATGCACAATTTGGGGACAATTTCTGACTCACAGGATGATTATGAGGATTTGGTGAGGTGCCAGGGTTCAGGGCAGCACACCACCGGAGCTGGTACTCAACAGACATTCTCTTACTGACTAACTTCCAGACCTCCTCCCTCCCTTCCTCTCTGTCTTTTTACAATATTACTTTGTCTCCACTTTCTCATTATTTCTTTGCTGAATCTAGAAAGGGAATGAAAATGCAGTAGGCTTCAAGATGAGAAGGGCTTTTCTGGGCGGTTACCCTAAGTGCATGGCGGATGAGCCCACAGGGTTGGGCTGCTAACAGTCCAGCGCGGAGCCCCTCCTGCAGCCCTGCCCTAATCAGAAAGCAGACAGGAGCATGGCCCGCCCCCGAAGCCCACGGACTGAGTTGTGCTGGGACTCCGGGTGAGGCTATACTCGCCTTCTGCTTTATCTTGGAAAGAGACCACAAAAACAACAGATAAGAGACAACCTCTCTGACTGGAAATGAGGTAAAGAGACCAGAAGCCTTTCTGCAGAAGGAAGAATCTTAGCTCCTGCACCTCAATAAAACTGCAGAACGCAGGAACTCCATTCTCCCATATTTTGAAGGCTAAGTACAGGCTGGTGGCGGTGAGGGGGTCGAGGCAATGCCCGCAGGGCTCCATCTCTGTGGCATGAAGCCTCTTTGGGCCCATCACATATCACCACAGTGCTTTTCAAGGCCTTTTTGGTTTTGTAACCCCTTTTGTAATGGTCAAGTTTTCCACATTTGGGTCTTTGAGTACATTCTGTGAGGTTACAGATGGTCACTGAAAGGTCTTAAGGCCAACTAAGCTGCAGGCATTTCTGGGGTGAGGAAGGGATGTGGAGAGAGCCCAGGCCCACCAGTGCTAGTCTCTCTGAGGATGGCGCTGAGTCCTCGGCTGGGAGGCTTACCGAAGGCTTCCGAGAGCCCAAACACCTTCTGGTTGTAGACGTCTGTCTTGTCCCAGACGAAATAATAAGACAAGTCTGGTGCCGCAGCAAACCACTTCCTGAAGAGGCGGCCCTCAACCGCCACCATGAGGTGGACCTTCATGAGGTTGAAGGGGATGGCAGGGTGGGTGAGGCTGATCCTCAGGACAGATTTGTAGCCAGGGGTACGGCTGCTCAGGTAGCTCAGCCTCATCTTGCAGCCAGAGATAGCGATTTCCTCCCGCAAAGCCTAGAGAGACAGATCACAGCAGTGACAGCCGTGCGATCACGTGGGGGGGGTCAGAGGGGGAGCAGCCAAAGCCCACGGATGGCGGGGTGTTTGGGAAGCAGAGAGGAAGCAGAGAGGGACAAGGGGAAAGGGGGAGGGGAGGAACAGGAACTAGAAGAGGCAGGGAAGAAGGGGGAGCAGAGGGGGAAGGGGAGCAGGAGGGGGAAAGGAAGAGAATGGAGAAAAGGCAGGCGAGCTGAGGCAGAAGGCCAGGTCTCTGCAGCCAGCTCTTGTGGGGTACAGTGGTACAGCCCTGCCTCATGGAGCCTCAGCTTTCTCCTCCTTTCTACAGGGACGGTGATGCTCAGCTCACCAAATTGCTGAGAGGCACATGTAAATACTGTAGTGTAAAACACTTCTCACCACATCACCTCTCTTTCACTAACTGTGTCATCCTAGTGAAAGCATGGAACCTCTGAACTTGTTTCCTCGCTAGATGACCTAGGGAGTCAGGTCACGTGTATGCAGTGCCCAGCACACACCAGCGCTCAGTGCATGGTTCTAAGTGGGATGCTGGTGCTGCGGAGCAGGGGGTCCCGTGAATGAGACCTTTCCCTCAGACTAACTGGACAGCTGCCTCAGCGAGTGCTGTTTCTCTTTCAAAACTTTCTAAAGTCAAGTGTGTTTCAAATGGCTTTCCTCTTCAGGAAGGAAACCGAGACTATGATATGATGGTCAGACAACTATGCAGGGTGGGGAGTCCAGCCTGCCTAGGACTGTGGCTGATGGCCCCGCTCTTCCACAGGAGGAGGTCGATTCGGCCGTGTGGAGTTGCTTTGCTCAGTGCGATGCTAGGGGAGCAGAGGGGAAGGAGCACTTCCTCTACTGGGTGCCATGGGCTCAGTTCCAAGATGGAAAGTTTAAATTAATGGCAGGATGCTCAGACACATGGCAAAAGCAGAGGACTTTTATCAGCTTGATAACCCGGGCTCTGTTTCAAGGAGGGGACATTAAATCAATTGAGGCTAACGTAGCTATTAAAATGACAATGACTGTTCTACTCTCCAGTTCACAGAGGAACTGGGCCTTTCCCTGCCCATCCATTTCATAGATGGCTGTGAACTCCCACCCACCGCGTGGGATTTTAGGGACCGAACACATGGGATTTTAGGGACTGGGCTTAAACCAAAGCAATCTTCCTAAAATTTCAGCATACAAGTTCAAGGCATCACAGGCTCTACACCCCAATGAACCACAGGCAGGGTTCAAGTGCCAGCCTGATGCTTTCATAAACATTTACCTTCTTCAATGTACCCTTTAAATTTTACGTCTCCTAGGACTTGCTAAGGCTAGCCAAGGATAGGACTGGAAAAACCCAAGTTTTGTTTTCACTTATTTCATGAATCTGATAATAAGCAAGGTTTGTGACCCAGCCGGGCTTGTAGAACCCCACCCAGGGAGCACTGTAAAGAGGGTGGGACTTTTAACCTCATTTGTCCCAAAGTCCCTGCTCCCGGGAAAATGTTAGCTGGAGCTGAACCAGGGTTGGGTAACAAATTATTTCTCTCCAGCGTGCTCTGTCTCCACTGACAATCATTTCATAAGGAAGGTCTGCCTGGTAGTTGAGATAGGACACAAGTGCTGCATCTCTGAAAAGGTTTCAACCTGTGGGTACAGTGAGAATTTCCAAATGGCTGTGTTTCCTTCTTGGGACTGATGGCCGAAGTCCCTCAACAGGGCACACACAGAGATGTGTTTGCTCAGCCAGGCATGAAACATGCACATAAAAATGCATCAGCTCCCTGCTCCACCATCACGGGTGACACGCTCACACCCACAGTACCTGGGCTCTCTCTCATGAGCAGATGGATGACAGGGGCTTCCTGCCCACACTGCCATCTTCCCCCTTCTGCAGCCCTTCCTATCTGCCATAGAAACTAGGCAGGGATAGAGGAAGAAATTCAACTCCCCACAGCTTTGATAGGCACAGAATCTTTCTTGATTTCTATTAGGTTAAAATTACTTCCTTTTAGTGGTAATTAAGTACAACACTCTCCTGAATAGATTTGAGTCAAAGCAAACCTTAATTGGCATGAAGGCAGCATGTGTAAAGTAATCTTAATAATAATGGCTAAAATTTACTGAGCCCTTACTAGGTGCCAGACATTGTTTGAAGTGCCTCATACACATTTTCTCATGTGATCTTTACTACGATGCACATATTTGGGATGTTTTGTCTCAATCCTCTGGGTAGAACCTAACCTCGTAAGTACTTTCAACAGAAATAATGAGGAAGGGGGCACACTGCGGGGTGGGGAAAAGGAAAATGGAAGTGAACTGGATAGCAAAGTGGAAAAGGAGCATATTTACTGTACGCTGGAGTGTGCCAGGCAGTTAACAGAGCTCACGTGCCGTAAGTGTGTGAGAGGGGTGGCCATCGCACTGGGACATGGCAGCAGTGTGTGGTCTGCTGTCTGGGTTCCACAGGGGGGCTGATGGGGTCTCTCTTTCCTCTGTCTTTGAGGTTCTCCTTTGCCTCTTAAGTGAAAAAGCATGGAGAAATGCCATTGAGAAAGCTGGGTACCTGAATTTCCGGAACAATGGGGCTTTTCTCGGCACAGGAGCTGGCGAAGGACGTCAGCGGGGATGGAGACACGACGGGGTTGGGGCGGGCGAAGTTGCTCAGGTCACAGCTGGGAATCTCGTTCTCCTCGTGCCGCATGATGATGGTCTCCATGACGAAGAAGCGATCCCAGGGCAGCCAGAGGGTGTGCTCCTGCGCGATGAAGGGCGCCCGCTCGAACCGCAGGACGAGGGAGATGCCGCCGTGGGTGACCAAGTCGAAGCTGTTTGGGAGGGGAGGGTTGAGGAGGAGAGGAGGGGGAAAGCAGGAAACAGGAGGTGAGGAGGAAGACGAAGAGTGGAGACAGAGAAAGGAGGAAAAAATTATACTGAGGGGTCTGAGCCCTTGCTGAGGAGACCCTAAAGTCTGAAACACTTCACTGTAGCCACGCACAGTGACAGAGATTCCAGAAGGCATTTTTTTTTCTTTTTGCAAATGATTCACTGTTGAGAATTTGCTAAAACCCAATGAAAAACCACTGCTATGAAGGCTCTTTGCCAGGACACCAAATGGCTGATGAGCCTGTGCTATGGTGCTTCTAGAATGCAGGGCCTCTAAAAGCCAAAGACCAGCAAAAAGTCAGCAGAATAAAGTGGGGCAAGCCCTGCTCTGGCATTAGGAGCCCTAAGCCCAGTCCTCTCTCTGCCATGAGCTATGTGATCTTGGGTAAATCATTTAGCATCTCTGATCCCAATTTTCTCATCTATAAAATGTAAAGGTTTAAATGAAAATTATTCTTAAGTCACTAAGAGTCTATGACTTTATAGCAATTTTAGCTCTGATCATGATAGATTATTCAACACCGGCCTTTGGAATAAAATACCTAAGCAATTTAGACATGGGCACAAGTAGAACCACAGTACATCAGAAATGAAAAGGGATCCAGAAAGCTGAGTCCCAGCCTTCCAGGTGAGGTGAGATCTCTGTGCAGCATCCCCAACTGCTGGTCATGCCGCCTTTGTAAGTCAACCGAATATTTACCTGTACAGTCGGTTTTAGGGGCCCTAGTGCAGGACCTGACTTTTATCCCTGATAAAGAAGCTGCAAGCATTTTGCCCTGAGTTCTCCTGCCTCATGCCAAACCTTGCCCTTGGCAGACAGAGTCCCCCGATTCGGGCCCCTGGTTCTCAGCTGCAGCCCAAGCACCTTCAGAGCAGTCCGAGCCCTGTTCCTTTACAGATGAGTTATGTCACCTGCCTGAGTCTCAGTCTCCTCCTGTGAAATGAAGCTGGTGGTCATAATCACTTGGCAGAGTTATTAATTAGATGGATGGGCTAATGGATGGGGAAAGCATAGGGCCCCACTCCCCAGGTATCATGCTCCATGTAATCCCATTTTTCAATTCAACGAGCCTGAACTGCTTCTCTTATGTGCCATTCTTTTGAAATTTTTCTGTATGACTTCTCCTTTCCATCTTTTTAAATGATCTCTTTGGCTAACTTCTCTGTTACTGTTTTCTGCTTATGAACTCTTGTTAAGAACTTGAGGGTTGGTATTAAAGAGAGAGAGAGAGGGAGGGAGGGAGAGAGAGAGAGACAGAGAGAGAGAGGTGTGTGTGTGTGTCATCATAGTGCCTGCCTGGAAATGAGGAATACAAAGATATGTTAGCTGTGGCTCTGAACTTGTATCTGTGTTATCTCCAGACTACATCTCTAGCCTTACGGTTTCTCCTGGAGTATGAAAGGTAAGAAAAAAGGTGAGTCAAGGAAGAGGGAGAGGGAAACAGTCAAAATGCTACCCACTCACCTATAACAAAGGGAATCTTCAAACACTTAGAGAATAAATAATGACTTCCCCACACGTCATGCAGTGTCTAAGTTGGGAAGAAAACTTCAGCCCAATAAAGCACTGGTAAGAACTGTTCTGAAACTCAAGCTCTAAGATGCTGCCACTCTGGCTACTCTGATATAATTTAGCAGGCTTCATGCTGGACATACGGCTGATGCTTACCTTCCAGCACCCCCTGCTCTTAAGGAACAGTAGAGACTGGACGGATAGCACAACAGAATGAATCAAAGCCTGGAGGTGCTAGAGGGGGGCATTTTCCTCAGGCCACCAGACTTATGTGACTCTGGTGGGCTTCACTGACCCACCCGAGCAAGCACAGCAGGCAAGGGACTGACAATTTGCTGTCTGACATGAAGGGCAGGTGAGGGTCATGGCAGAAGAAGAGCAGTCCCCATGGCTCCTTTTTGATAACTGTTCCACAGGAGGTAACAGTGTAGTAAGAATGCCTATTGCCTAGGAAGCTCACATCTGTCATTTCCACAAAGCAGGCAGCATTTAGCTGGAAGGTAGTAAAGATAGAGAGAGCCTAAGGAAGGAGATGCTCCCAGGCTGTAGGAGAAATCTACACTGAGGTGCTTGCTGGAATGGAACTTGCGTGGGGCAGGGAGTGCTGGCCTGGTCTGGACAGGTCACCCCTGGAGACCTGCCAGCCTTTCTAGTGGGGCCCTTTTCTATGCACAGGGAGTGAGAGTGAGGAGAGGGCATCCCACTCCACACCAAGCTTGCCAACCCCATCTAAGAGGCACACATGATGGCACAAACAGATGAGCCTCTATTTCATTATCACCTCGGCTGGGACATATTCACATCTGATATTGGATTAAAGAGGTGCTAAAATCAATCAGGCTGGAGAATAATTTCTCACACAGAGTGAAAATCAACCTTATGGGCCCACACGTAGCCAGATGGACCGCCATCACCTGATTTTATTAAAAACAGAGGACTTGTCACTGCTGACAGCCTAAATATTCCACTTTCCTCCTTCCCCTCCCCTTCTCTCCAAAATATTCTCATTGTGTGTACTATAATCATCACTTCTCATCATTTAGTAATTTGTAATTTTAATAAACAGCTAATATGATTATATACTTACTGTGTGCCAGACCCTGGAAATACAGCAATGAACCAGAGTGGGGCAGGATTTATTAAACACTTACTATGTGCAAGGTGCTTCCCCACTCATCATAGGATCTTTTTCTTACAACCAATATGTGAGATAGACAGTGTTAGGACCATTTACCAGATAAAGAAGCTGAGGCCTAGGGAGGTGAGGAGATTTGTTCAAGAACACACAGCTAGCAAATGGAAGAGCTCGAGGGATTAAAGAACCTTCCTTTCATTCTACTGATGGTTCTCACAAGGATCTGAAAATTGGAGTTTTGTCTTCACCCAGCAGTGTCCACAGACCTACGTGGTTACCAATGGAAACCACAGAGCAGGAATGCTAAGATTTCTGGAGCGGTCTGGCCTGCAGAAAGTGGTCCATGTGACTGTATTTTACATCATAAGCCCTGGAAAAGGATAATATGTATAAGGTACCTATGCTTACTCTGAGAACCAAATAAGATTAAGCTGCTTAATCTATAGCCAAAGGGACTTAGGCCAGAGTCAGATACAAGGTCACATAGCTAGTGAGTTGCAGAGCTGGGCATCTGAATTCAGGTCCTCTGAATCCAAGTCCCATCTTCTTTCCACGTTGTCATTCCAGCAGCTATGTGGCAAGACCACGGAGAGCAGGGCGTTCACTAACTCAAGCCTGAAACAGGTCTCCTACCTGCCATCTTGCCTGCTGATTGTATATCCAAAGAGAGGGTTATTGACGAAACTGATGTTCACGCCAACCAGCGGGGTCCCATCTGATGTCATCACTTGACCACGAATGACACATGCATGCCTGTGAGTAGAGAAGACAGAATAATGTGATCTACTTTTCATGCTCAGTATCCTGGCTTGCAGGCAACTCTTAGGGATCAGAAGACAGAAGGCAGGTCACTCAGACATGTCTTCATACCCAGGGGCTCAGGGTATTCATTCAATATGAATAACCTTTTTTATTCATATCACCTCAATTTAAGGCATCAAAGTGTCCTCTAAAGAACTGTTATTGGGAGATATTTTCAGATATCACTCAGGTTATTTTCCAAAGATATTATATTGTGCTAGCAGGAGATAAAGCTGATCTGAGAGGGCTACACAGTGCAGTTACGCATATGAATTTGGGGTCATGTGTCTTGGGTTCAAACGCCAGCTCTGCTACTTTCTAGCTCTCTAAACTTGCACAAATATGTGGCCCTCTTTGAGGTTTAGTTTTTTCACCCTGGTCCAGAGTAAGTTCATAAAAGGCAGGGGTTACCATTTCTCTGACAGTCTCACTGAAAGTGTACATACAAGAAAGTGAACAGTATAGAAGGTACTACCTCTCATCTGGCATTGGGAACAGCAGGAGGGCAGATGCCAGCGTCTCGCTGGCAAGGGTTCTGGGGCTTGTCTCCTCTTCCAACACCCCCCCACCACCTTCCCTCTAGATCCCCGACAACAAACCATCTGTGTTGCCCAGCGTGCCAGGCGGAGTTGTTCAAAGCCTCTGGGTCTGTGCGGTGCTCTTCCATCTGCCTCAGATGTCATTCCCGCACCCTTCTCCCAACATTCTCATCTTTTATGACCCAGCTTCAAATGATGCCTCTCCCCTGAAGCCTTTTTTGATGGCCTTAGTTAGAATTAGTCACTGTCTTCCAAAACCGGACACGAACACCTGATGCCCTATGGCACTATACAGATTTCTCCTCTCCACCAGGTCATCTGCTCTTCGAGGGAAGGGTCAAAGCCGATTTCTTTCTCTCTGCAGTGCCTGGAAATGCCTAACGAGTACTAGGTTGCTGAAAAAAATGGTGGATTGAGTAAAAATGTGGGACAACTGGAGATCATCTAGAATGATGGCTTTTCAAGTATTTCAGAAACAGAATCTTTTTAGCAGATGACATTTTATAAGGACCTCACAGTGGAAAACAAACCCAAGATCTGCTCTAGATAAAGTAGACATGGGGACCCCACTCTCCCCTTGGGAGATCCTCTGAAGGCAACTCTGTGGAGTCTTAGCCTCTGGAGAAGCTGGAGAAAAGCCAGTTGGAAAATCACTGAGTTAGTGGATGAAGAGGAAACTGGGGTCCACAGAGGTTGTGTTATTTGCCCCAGGCCACACAGGGAGGTGGTGACGGAGCCAGGCATTGAACCCAGGCCTCTCACCCCTGGGTCCAACTCTACACCAGTCTGCTTGCCCCTGGTAATGGGTGACAATGAAGGTGCTCATGGAGGTGAGCACCGTAAGGGATCAGGGCACTGAGGAGACAGCCTTAACTGACAAGGCAGATCTGAGGCAAAGATGCAGGCATGATGGTCCAGACAGCTTTCTGCACTCACCTTGGCTTAGAAGGGCTTTTTCTGGCCTAGGGAAGAGCTGATGAGGCCTGTGGCATTCATAAAAAAAGATCTCAAACTCAACCTCTGCTTTATTAGGTATGTACATCTCTACCTTCCTAGAGTGATAAACTTTTCTCTGTTTGATGAGAAAAGCAATTAACACCAGGCTTGTAAGCAGCTGGTCTCACCAGTGTCAGCTTGTCCTTTCTGAAGGCAAGAACAACTACCCCCGATGCAGTAAGTTCCCCACCCCCACCTGACCCACCCCACTGCACACAATCTGGTTAATGCTAATTCAGTCAGTGGTTTCCTTCCGAGGCCCTTGGTCTAAATGCAATTACATGGCAAACAAGTTAAGCAGGTGAGGCTCAGCAAAGACTCTTAGTCCTGATCTGAAGGTCTCCCAACATATTTATGTGAAATTATCTCTCTGTTAATGCAGAAGATTTATTCTATCAATTGTATTTGGCTGGTACTGAGAGATACTTTCTTTCATGGAGGAAAATTGAATTTTGTATTGCTGGAACTTTGTCCTTCCAGAGAATTACTAACAGATCTCATCTCCTGTTGCTGGCTACTGTCCAGCCTTCTCCAGACATACGCCTTCAGATTCTGCCTGGACAATAACCAGGCCTCTGGGGATGGTGTTCTTTTGGGGGCTGCCCTGGTTGCTGCCCCTCATGCACATGTGGGCCAGCCTCCTCTGATTTATCTCTCTTTGGGGATTTCCTGATAATGGGGAAACATTAAATCAGCACCATTTGGCTATCATGTAGCCTCCACTTCGGCAAGCCAGAGCAGATGTAATTTTAGCCCAGGTTCCTGTGGACTGCTTTGGATTCTGGAGAAGACTGACTTCTTATATCCCTGTAGGCCACAGAGGCCTCTTGCCAAAACGGGCATTTGGCCCAGGATTTAAGTCCTGGAGAAAAACACTTCTATCCTCCTGTTTGATCATGATTTTCAGTTGTCAAGAAAACCCAGTTTAACATAAAGGATTTCCTGGAACAAAGGAGATGGGAAGTCTGCTCTGTGAAGGCCTCTGAAATGTGTCTCCCTGCCACGTGTTTTTGTCAAGGGAGGCTTGAAAAGATGTGGGTGCTGGGCTTTCAAATGCTTTCTTTCTTCATCCATTTATTTAATGGATATGATCAGTGGCAGACACTTAATAGCTGGCTTTCAAAAGAAAAACAGCTTTAATTTGTAGCATTTGCCTACTTCTGTGGTGTAAATACCAAGGCCAGTTTCATGCTATTAAGGAGATATCACTGAACTGGAAGTGGGTTAGAGATGCACAGCAGGACACCGTTTACACAGTATTTCCATCATATAGATGCAATAGTCCTGAATAAACTCAAGAGCATCGGTAATACAGTAAAGTAACTAGAAAGTGATGAGTTTTGATTATTTATTACTTTTATTTTTAATATAGTTTAAAATTTTACATAATTTAATTGTTAATAATAGTTGTTTAAAAACTAGCTCACAGAATTCCTGAACATTTAATAATCAGTTCTTATGAGCTGGTATGAGCCAGCTTTTATGTTTTACTGGAACACTGATCCCACACTAAGAGTCAGTGTGGCTGAGAAACAGTTGCTGCTTTGACTATGAAATTCCATAAGCAACCTTGCTGAGAAATCACTAAGGTGTGGCGCAAATCACTGCCACCCACTTGGCTTTCCAGGGGCTCCTGTGAGTCTCCCACCACAGTCCTGTACGTGACGTGTTTTGCTTTCCCTTGGCCACTGTCTTGGCATAATGGAGTTTTGGGGTGTTATTTTCTTCTCATCCTCAGAGTCCCATCTAAGCTACCGTCACCTCAGTAAGGATGTTACCAATTCCTCTTGGCGCAGTTAATCACCCCTCCTCTAGGCTCCCTAAACCTTCCGAGTGTCTCTCCGTGACTGTGACTGTCATATAATCGTGTCATCCACGTTCACCTAGCTACCTTATATGCTTACAGGCGAGCAAAAGGACAGCAGGGTCTCATCTCCTGTGACTAGGGTAAGCAGCGGGCATTGCTCCCTGAGTGTTTGGTGTGTGCAAATGATCAAGTAACCGAAACTCAGAGAGAAAACACTTGCTCCAGGTCATACGGCAAAGAACTCAACTGGCTGAGCTGACACTCAAAGCCAGGACTTCTTAGTTTTAGGTCCTTACTCTTACCTCTGTGTTATGCATCTGCAGTAACTAAAATTCACTTATGTTTAAAGAACTGGTCACCTACGATAAGCTAGGTATTCGGTGCTGGGGTTATAGAAAAGCATGAATTACAGTCCCCAGTTGCTTGCTGGAGCTCCCCAAAGCCAATTTGAAATGCCTGACTGTCGCTGTCGCTGACACCAGTGAGTCAACACATGGGTTTGGCATATGTCAGGCAGCTGGGATACAAACAAGCCATTAGGCTGGGTGAACTCTGCCAGGAAGGAGCACTCGTGCCAGGCCAAGGGGGGGCTTCAAGCGTGCTGGCGTCGGTCCAGCCATACACCCAGGGCCAGAGTGAGGTGCCCTTACTGATGCTGGAGAGGAAGGAGGTTTGCCTGACTGCTTCCTGATGACAGTGGCCAGGTTTGAGATCAAGAGAGGAAAGTGTTGGAGCAACAAAACCACCTTGGAACAGAATCAAGCAAGAAACCAACTTCAGCTGTCAGTTGGGCAGCAGTGGTGGGGTGTGGTGGAGAGAGCCCTGGACAGGCAGTCAGCTTCTAGTTGTGACTCGGAAGTACCTATATGACCTTGGAGAGTCACCGGCCTCTCTGGACCCCCACTCTCTCACTGGCCACACAGGCTGAATTTTTCCTGACCCGATGTAAAATGAAATCCATTTTTAAGAATGTAAATGGCTTTATTCTGGTGCTACCTGATCCAGCTCCAGCAGGCCTACTTCAAGCGGCTTCAGACTCTTAGAAGAGCTCACTCAATGCTTATGCTTACCTCAGATGGTTCCCCCTTTATGGAACCTTCCACCTATCCTGTTCAACTGGAAAATGCTCAAGTTCAGGACCTGCCTGGGCCATTCGCCAAGCCCTCTGGGCTGCCTCTGCAAAACTTCTGAGTGCTGCCACACGACTGTGGCCATCTCTCTCCCCCTGCAAACCATGAGCTCCTTGAAGACAGGACCACATCCCTCATGGCTATACTCTTAGCACTGAGCACAGTTGATACTTGTTTCTGGGTAGGCTACAGCGAGCCTCCAGCAAAGCAGGTGTTTGCCCTGGAATTGGAATGCATGGCACAGAGGAAGCTCTTGATAATTTCCTGCATGAAGAACTGATGTGTTTCTGTAACAGAAGGTGGGGGTGATGCCAGAGAACTTTGAGCTACTTAACCTTGACAGGGCCGTGACTAGGGAGCCGAGGGCTGGAAGGGCTGGACCTCTGACAGAGCCGGTCAACCTGAACTGTCCTCCACGGCTGGCTCAGTCCCCTGTTGGAGGGCCCGCCTCACTCCAGTTTGCAGCCCTGCTACTTTGGT